TATATATATATATATATATATATATATATATATATCAAAACGATAAAAAACTCAATAACACCAATACAATATTAAAATGCACAACTAGAGATGTTAAATGGTCTTTGGCCCGACGGGTCGGCCCATTTAGCCCGAAAAAAACAGGGTTAGGTCCTTTTATTAGTAGCCCGTTTAAATCAGGGCTTTTTAGGCCCAGACCGTTTAGCCCGAAACCCGCTAGGGCTAGCCCGAAACTCGATAGGGCTGACCCGTTTACCTAGGGTTGGGCCGTGTAAATGTTTGCATCAAGTAAGTAATATGCTCTTAAATTACTTGTATACTACAATTTTGGTTTTCCACTTCACATGTAAGTATGAGTTGTAATGAATTATTATGATTTTGAAAGATAATTATTAACAATATTATTATTGTACTTCATACCAAAATATTTTAGCCAATCAGAACGATTAATAGGAAACACATGAAACATAGCGATAGACGGTAAATACTAAATAGCCGTTAAAAATAATTTTTAACTAGCCGTTGTTATTTTTTTTTATATATATTTTTCTCTTCTTATTTTTGATTTTTTATATATTATTATTATTATAACCCGCATAGCCCGTTTAGCCCGAAGTCCGCTAGAGTTAGAATTAGATCCCTTTTTTGATAGTCCGTTTAAATTCTGATTTTTTAAACTCGGACAGTGTAACCCGAAGCCCGCTAAAGTTAGCCCAAAACCACTAGGGCTAGCCCCGTTTAACATCTCTATACACAACCCGGTAAAACCCCACTAGAACCCATGAGAAATGAGAGATCCACACAAACAAACGTGGTCTAGAGCGTAGACACACAAAAACGTAACAAAAGGCGGTGAATTATATTTGTTCATATAATGAACAATTCCCCAACTTCTCCGAATTATCGCCGTCTCTTTTCTACTCTCGATTCTCACTTCTCAGTCTCTAATCCCCTCATCATCTATCTTATCTCTCGTCTCGTCAGCGTAGGCCTGAAAGTTGAATCGCTCCGGTTAGCGTACAACACACACGGGCGGCCGTCCAGCGGGGTGTCGGCCCAGGAGCTCCTTGACGCCGGGCACCGGGCTTGGTGTGCGCCGGGTCCTAATTTTTCATCTCCCTCCCAAATTCTCAATTCCAATCCTCAATTCAAGGTAATGTATTGGACTATTGATGTTTCCTGTTGGTGTTGGTTGTTGTTGATGTAGTGTACATTTGGACTATTTTTGTTATTTGCACTTTGCAGCCTGCTTTTTTTTTTTTTT